TGCTCTGACCCAACCCAGCAGTCACCTTGCAAGATTGGACTCTTCTGACAGCCACTTTCTCAATGCATGCTTTGCCACACAATCTGCTCCAACATACTCATCCCTGAAGAGCCTTCTAGAGTCCCTTATTAACATGATGGTTTTTAATGGCTTGTTTTGTAAAGGTCAAGTAGAAACTCTTTAACAGCTATTTCTTAAAACAATACTGAAACAGCATTAAGTTTGCAAGCAAATATGCTTCATGCAAGAAAAGCGACCCAACTTTTTCCTTCCTTTTGCATCATTATTATGATGTATATCAGGACAAGACCATTTTGTGCTGCACTGGTGGCTGTATCTTGTGTTGCTTGAAATTGCACTTGGCATGGACACTTCACAGATAACAGCTGCGTGTAGCTGAAAGGGACAACACAGTGACTCGCCTGCAGTGAAACCTTCCAGACTTCCAGGACAGAGTGATATTTGGCACACTTTTAATGCATTTGATGGTCTCTCCAGAAATATATTATGATGATCCCCGAACAACCGGATAACAGCTAAGCTATATCTTTCCCATTTATGGTTAAATACTAACGATGTATTTATGCTCCTGCTGAAAGTTCAAGTGTGTTAAAATATAGAATCTGCATCCACATATGGCTCTGGTGACCACAAGATACTGACTCCCTTTCTCAAGTCCAAATGACTCCTACCTGCTGCCATTTCCTGACAAAGAGTGTATAGAGGGAAAAAAAAAAAAAAGGAAAACAGAAAAGAAAAAAAAATATAAAGCCTTTGCATATAGTGCTACTCTATCAGCTTGACTATTTCCAGGAAGCAGATGTCTCAGGCTCCAGACACTCTCTGCTCTGCCAAGAGCCAGAGGCATCAGAGTCATTTAAAGGTTTCCTACAGGTGTTCCCAATAATTACATAGAGAATAACACCAATGCTCTAGAGACGTAGATTCACCCGCTATTATACTACAGTGAAATGAAAACTAAAGTGGATCTTCATCAGTTTTTATCAGAGTGAAAAGTGCTAGTTAGAAAATGTCATATCATACTTTTCTGCATAAATAGATCAGATATAAGGTGCACTGAGACCTTTATGGGGAACTTTTTCTGCAAATTCCCATATTATGACTCTATTTGGCTAGTACTTCTGGTGTCTGACTTTCAGCACTGAGCCAAAATATTTTGTAAGAAGTGATTAAAAATATATATTTTACTAAAATAAATGCAAAGAACAGATGGCAAGTGAATTTCAAACACAAATGCAGTTTCTAGAGCTTACAGTGCTTCTGCCAACTTTAGCACTATTTTTAGCATAAATTGAAAACAAGGTTCTGTTAACTAAACATTTTGGCAGTCACAGTATTGATTCAATTAATCTCAAAACAGAGAAACGTCAAAAACTGTATTAAGTCAGAATCTTTGAAAAAGTCCAGAGTTTTATATCCTTAGTGGAATATTAGTCTTATAAAAAAAACTAATCTAATTGGTAGGCAAATAACCTTAGTTTTCAAGTTCCTTCCCAATTCTAAGATTTAGAACGGGTCACTGAGTGTTTAGTTTTGCCTAAACTGCTTAGATAAAGAGTCAGATATTTCAAATTAACTGAAAAAAAGGCAGCAGTGTCTAAGAGAAAAAGACATTTCTACAGAGTTCCTCAATTTAAGAACAAAATAGATATAATGTTCAATAACAATAAAAATAAAATTTGAGGAAACATTAGTGGTTTGGATATTAATATAATTGTACCTTTTTTGTCATAAGAACAACACGGACTTTCTTTGTCCATAAATCAACAATATACTTAACTGTAAAAGTCACAGTGTAAAACCAGATAACACATCACACAAGAGAATTAAATATTTTCCTATACAATGAAATTTGTGTCTTTCATTTTCATGTGTACCCACTTCTCCCACAAAGTTGTGTTTTTTTCAGTCTGTAGACACAAAAGATGCTTTTGCCAGCATATTTACTGACCTGACAACATCAGAAGGCTTCTTTTTAAGAGGATGAAAGGAAGTCCTCAAATTCATCAATCTGGTTGCAAAGAAGTATGTATGCACTTTCTGAGAGATACACACATGCATGATTTTGGTTTTAAGGAGCTTGGTTCTACTTGTACACATGTTCTTCAATATTATTATTATTATTATTATTATTACCATTACTATTATTATTTTAAACCTTCTTGCTTTATCCTTATGGAAGGCAGGACTTTGTATGCTATTGGCCAAAGCCCATAAAACAGGAGTTCACATACAAGAGCTTGGTCAAACTTACTAATAACTACGTACAACGCCAGTGGAACTACAAGAACATTCAGTGATGAGAGTGGAGTGACAAGTATGCCCACAACCCGTACTTGTGGAACAACTCACAAGCTGAAGGAGCCATGTTTGAGAGGCTAGAGTCAAGTTTCATTATGTCATAGAGGAAATCTATGAATTTTGAAAGTGTTAGTCCACTTCTTCTGGATGCCTCTGGAAGGATAAGAGGTCACAACTCAGAAGATTCTTGAAAACAACTGATGTAGCATGATAATTACTATACCATGGTAATTCAGCACATAGTATAAACCATTCTTCGTCTTTACTGTCAGCTTCAACAAAGATTATTTTATTTGATTTTAAAAAATGGAGTAACTGCTACTGCAAAACCAAGGACAGCAAATATGAAGATGAAATATACACAGTAGTTTTTATTCTTTCTAGTTTGTTTCAGCACAGTTTCCAGAAGTCTGATTCCACCCCTCCTTTTTCCCCTAAAAGATATTCTCTTTTTTCACCTTATATTTCAGGATATTTCTTCTTTGTCTGGAGGGAGTTGGAACTGACCATCACTGCCTTCTCAGTTTTCAATCTTTTCCAAATTTTCCATTTTTCAAATGTCAAGGTGTGCACAGTGGTATGAACAGGCACAACAGTTGACCTCACTCAGCTGCTGCCGCTGCTTTGTTCCACTAGGAGCTGACCAAGGATCTGACTGCCTACCTCCATGTGGGTCCTTTGTTCTACACCTACACAAGTCACGCCTAATTTGTACAGGCCTAACGACCGACACAACCGAATAAAGTTTAGCAACACTTCTTGAACTCTGGAAATTATACCAACAACTCATACCACTGGATTGCATTCCCTCAAATATTTTGCAACTAAGTGCAGGCTCCGATTTCTCATATTTTTTTTTTACATTCATGTATGCAAATGCACATGAATTTGGAGAAATTTATCCTTGCTTGCAGAAAACAATGGTATAACTTTCATTTTATTGATAAATACCAAAAGAAAACTAAAGTGTCAGCATTGGCAAGCTTCACCATCTGTACACAGTTCTATGATCTGAACTAGAAACACATCACAAGAATTTTAAAAAAAGGCAATATATCCTTCTTAAGAATCACATGTACTCTAATAAAAAGAATAAGACTGAATATAAATTTTACAGAAATCAGAGCAAGTTACGCAATAACAATTACAGACTATATAAATTAAACCACCCATTTTGCTGGAGAAAATGAAATCTCATTTTTATTAATAATTTGTTGAATTAGAAAAGAAAATCTTAATTTGATTTTGAAATTCTGAAGTAAATAGACTAGAATCTTCTTGACCTTCAAATAAAGCAAACCAGTAAATGCAAACTCTACTCTTTGTAGACAACTCTCATGCTCATTAGAGAGTCAGAGCCTCAGAAAATTATCAAATCTTCAGAAACATGCTCTCCCAAGGTCAGATTCATTTGTAGTGAAACAACCATCCCACCTAATTTCATGTTAGTAATTTCCTAAATAAAATAACACTTCACTTTCCCACACTTAGTTCTGTTGGACAATGAGAAGAGGAGGGAAACTACATTTTATCCTCTGTAAGGGTGCCGTGTGCAATATAAAAAAATAGCAAATTATTTTAACACAATTTTTAAACAATCACACAGTTTGAACTTATAAAACTTTGGCAATCTTGGGAAGTTTCAAGTTGCATTTTCCCTTTCAGTTGAACTGTTATGGCTGCATAACTTGATTTAAACAGGCATAAGAAATGTATGAGCTTGTTGTGCCTTGTTATAACATTACTTGCCTATTACGACTTACATATTTGTACTTCATCAGGAGGCACACTGTAGCCTACACATTTGAATCTCCTTGTCCAGAAACAGACAGTTCTTCAACCACTGCAAAAAGTGAAGCTCTGCATAGGCTTTTTTGACCTCGCACTGTGACCCTCATACCAGCATCCACAGGCTATAGGTCATGACCTCAAGAATTAGCATCATGGAAATAAGAGCCCTTCCAGGTTTAGTTACAGAACAGAACACTGTAGCAACAAACCCTCAGCCTTCTCTAAACTGAACTCTGCAGCTTTGTTTTAACTCCACTGGAAGACAATAGATAACCCACACTTCAGTTTTCATTACTCGCACACTAAATCATCTCCTCTCCAGCTAAAGGTCTGAGCTCGCGCTGCACTATGAAAACATTCATTCAGTGTGGATCGAAAGCCAATATCATATTGCCACTAGATGATCCTATTAAAAGGTTAAAGAAACATCACTATGGAATTGAAGACTTTTGCAACGTTAAGAAAAAAGGTTGAAATAAGTCATCTCTGTTAAAATTTTATCTCCTAAGCAGGCTACTTTGCATACACTTCCTCCGGGGAAGAAGAAAAAAAACCCTGCATCACATGGTCTTTCACAAGGCTACACTACCGCTAATAAAACTCCGCTTATATTAAACTGATAACAAATAATCTCCATAACAAGCTCCATTATATATTAAATCCTGAACCGTATTTCTAAACTAGTCTTTCCATCAGCAAGCGCTCTCCGATGCGTTTAGTGCCGGGCGGGGGACCCAGCTCCGAGCGGGAGTTCCGGGAGTCCCGGGCAGCCGTTCCCGCTTCCCGCAGCAGGGGGAGCCAGCGCCCTCGGCCTCGGCCGGCGACAGGCACCGGGGAAGCGCCGGGCGGGAGAGGGAGAGGGAGAGGGAAAGGGGCACGAGACTCACCTTCCTCCGGGAACTCCCGAGAGTAACTGCAGGGAGAAGAAGAAACATCAGAAAGCAATGCACACCTGCAAGCCCACGGTGCCAGGACATGGCACAGAACAACAACTAGTTTTCAACAAGTTTCACAGCTGAAACTTAGCGCCGCAAGTTTTCCTTTCAAATTCTGCAGTCTTTATCTTTGGCTTAAAGTATTCACTCAGTTTTTCTTTTCTCTTTGCAGCTGAAAGAATTCCCAGCCACTTTAAAGAAGACTTTAAAAAAAACCAAACTCAGACAGAGCAGCCTTTTCAAGGAACATACATCTACTCAGACATCTTAAGGTATAAACATACAAAAGCATCTTTAATTTTAGTAAGCCTTCTAAATGTTAACATGTTTCAAAACTTTTCATGCACAAGTAAAAGCCACTGAGCATATTTTAAAATACAGGTCAGTAGGTAAAGACAAAAAAAATTATCACAAATAGTTGTTTTAGCTGCAGTAAATTTGCAGAAATCTAAATGAAAATGTATTAATAATTAACCAAAAATTTAAAACCCTAAATAAAAAATCCTTTCCAAATAAGGAGAGCTAAACTTATTTAATGCCTAAAAAAAAATTCTACCATCCCAGGAAGAAAATTTACTGTTTCTTCAGAGCTAAAACTTATTTCAGAAACAAAAATGATCTGATGATACGGATAAATAATCAGGACAGAGTTACATAAAATGGCATTCAAGAAGCATTCATGGACTAGAGTTTATGTGAAAAGAGGAGGATTTCATCAGAACTAACTGACAAATAAAATGCAGCTGCCAAGATCATCTTTATGGACAATAAGGAGGAGCGCACGTATCAGGTCAGTCAGTTAGGAGATTCTTGCGAGTAACAAGCAGAAGAAAAATGAAGGGTCTAGGGATAAGAAACTGAGAAATGCCAACAGAGATAAAAGGCCAGATCTAAGAAATACAGCATAGCAAGTGGCAGTAATAGACACAGCCCAACATGTGGGATGTGAAAATCAAAGATGACTAGAATGTGCATGGATTTTGTAGTCTGCATGAAAAGCAAAACACTGTTAATAGTGAACAATATTACAGGAGATGAGGAATGAATTGGAAATTAGGGTCATAAAAGTGAATAGCAAAGGATTCAGCATCAACTTTGTTCATAACTGCAGGTTCCCTCCCTTTGGTATTTCATCATCCAAAAAATCATAGTTTAGTCCTAAGACCGAAGAAAAAAGTCAGTAGTGCTGTAGCTGCAGGTCTTCTATAAAGGGCCAGTTAACTCAATAATCCACAAAGGAAAGCACAAGCAAATAAACAAAATCCTAGTTCCTTATCAGAGGGGAGAGAACTAGTTCCCTAAGCATTTACAGCCTGAATGAAAGGCACACAGAACTTTAACTACAAGAATTTGGGACACATCTCATGTTTCTCTACAGTCAGGGCCATGCAAAGAATGATGCCCTCACCAGATGATTGTGCCGTCTTTGAAATTGTAAACAAGTTGCCTCAGGGGCAGAAGAATGTCATCAAAGGAACGATTAGGGGATATCACACAGGAGTGATCAGTAGAAAAACAGTTTGGAAACAACAGCACTTTGGAAACAATGTGAAAAGAACAGCAAGTACTAAACTATATCCTAGTTGATTAGAGTTGCAAGAAAAGAGATTTTTCAAAGAAAATTCTGTAGCGCAAATGAAAGTATAGCTAAATATCTTTACTGAATTGCTGACTGAAATTAAAACTCTATAAAACAATCTCAAATCCCCCTTGACATTAAAACAAACAAGGACACGCACAGCCCTCTGCTTTGACTGTCATAATACTTCACTATTTTAACACTACTGAAACAAGCTTATGATCTATAAATAGTTTTCAGTTATGTTTCAATTTTCTATTACAGAGCTAAACAACAAAATGTATAGTAAAGCAAAGTCAGTATTGAATTATGCTGTTTTACAACAGCTGAGTATGGTGTTTGGAAGCTCGTTCACATTGTCAAGGCATTATATTTCTCATATTTTAATTAATCTTACCAAAGCTGAAGTGAATGCAAGCTCTACCCAAAGAGCTTGCAATCAGGGTTCAGAATATTGAGCAATTCAAATGGGACAATCATCCTGATCCCATTTCTTACTAAATTGTAACAGTTTCAAGAAAGATTATTTGACAAAATCAGAACTTAGACAGATTTTTTTTTTAATTGTTAATCGTTTTAATGTTTATTAAAAGATTGTAAAAAAACTTAAGGTATCACTAAGTGACTTTATAACATATCAAAACCATGAAGCTGCTTACCTTGCCTTAACATCCTTTATCTTCTTAAGAAGAAGTTCCCTTTTTTCTTTTGCTTTCTTGGATAGATTTTCTCCTTTTAGCATTTGGGAAACAAATGTTTCAACATCTAATAAAGAAAAAAAATAAAAGATAAAATAGTGCTGTAATGAGTTGTCCTGATACTACTGTGAAAAAACCAAGAAAATTATTTTCAGTTCTACACACAGCATAGTTAACGCTCATTTCAGAATCTAAATGGGATACATTTGTTCCCTATCTATTTATGCTTAGGACAGCAAATCCTATGGTGACATTTGATTCTTGCTCACTTAATTATGCTATGTAAGTCCTAACAAATTGCAGTACTATAACAATTACTTTCCATCACCTAAAGTAAGAGATAAAGCTAAAACATCAATATAGCCTTTATTCATGTATTCCTGCCATATTATTTAAGAAGTTCAGGTTTCAAAGATGGTTGAGTAATTTATTATTTCAGCAGTAACAATTACCCAGCTCCTAATATAGGTCATTTACTGGTTACAGCATTTTCAAGTGTTCTCACATTGCCTCTGAACTCCCTGATTGACTAAAGATTCATATCCAAAGCCTTAATCTTGAAAACAACTAGGTAGGCACAATAACCATATCAAAAGAGTCAAGCTCAACGGCGTGCTTTAAGCACACCTGCAATTGTAGAATCACAAACTAAGGCTCTAACCTGCACTGTAATTCTTCATTCTTATACAGATGATACATTTATATAGTCATGTAGAAACAAAGCATTCCATAAAAGTTACCACGGTTCTTTTAATATGGCAAATATCCATTCCACAGGATAAAAGCAATGCAGTGTCTGAGAATTTGGGGGAGTGTAACTCCTCCAGCAGTGTGTTTTCTTCATTAGCAAAAACAACAGCAATAGCCAACTGTAAAATTTTCTTACAGTTACCAATCAACATACGACTACCCCAAAAACAGAAAAGTAGAAATACAACCAGAAAATCCTGCTTGTTAACTTAAATGTCTCACCTCTACAGATAATAATTGCTCATTGAAAAAGAGCAAGCAAACGTAAGTAAAAAAAAAACCACCCTCACACAGTGCCTGCCCACCCCCCATAGACACACACATAGACAGACAGATAGATAGATAGGTATAGATATATATACACACACACTTTGGCTCACTCCATGTAGATGCAAATAGACATGGACAGTACTATTTTAATCCTCTAACTTTTCCAATCAGATATTTCATTTTAATACAGAAATATCAAACAGCCAGCTAAGTTCTCAAATGTTTGCATGCAAACATGAATATTTACTGCAGATTTCCTAATTAAAAACTTAATTGGCTGCTTTTTTTTTCATAAAACAGAAACATATCACACTTTATATTACAGGCTGCAAGAAAACAAGTCAAAAGTTACTGTTTGAGAACACTAGCATAGCTATTACAAAGACATTGTTCTTTATAAATAATTTACCAGATTACTATTTAGATGTTTAGAATTGTGTCTTCACAAAGTGTGGCAAAACCATTCATTTTTAAAGTATTTTAGAGTTTTGAAGAATGATATTGTTCTCCCTCCTCATAAGACAGAGAATCGTCCCCATTATATTTTCCAACGAAGTTCCGAATGGGGGAGACCCTCAGTTCTGTGGCATTCCTTCTTTAAAGGGACAGAAGGAAAGGCACTTAACGTCTATTAATGAATCCTCCAGACACACCCCCAACAGCCTCTCTGCCATACACCAAGCACCCCCAGAAAGATTTTGTCCTAATCCATGGAAAAAGTACACATCTTCATAAATTCCAATGACTGGAATTGCCAATCAAGCTTCCAGATGAGGACTTAGAGAATCTAAAGATACTGACCAACTACAAAACCTGGGTCAAAAAAACGATACTTTTACTACTGAGAGCAAAAACAAAAACCATCAACAGTTTTTCTCTCAATGAAACCTAACAGGATTTTCCAGTACAGACCAACCTTTCACTCCGAGAGGGACAGCCTGATTAAATATTTGTTCCTTCCTACTTTTACATATTTATTTCAAAAATTATATAGCAGCTTCAAAGTTCTACCTAGGTAGCAATATGCAAAAATTTAGAGGAATTAGTCATGTTCATAAATCAGGAGCAATGCTTGCAAAGTAACCTTTGAACACTAATTAATCACAGAACTTGAGTTCAGAAGTCTTCATTTAAACTCAGTGGGTTTCTTTACTTCTTGGAAAAGCTCAAAACCCAGGTGAGAATTCTGCCATCTCAGAACCTCAGATTTTCACTCTCAAATCTTTATTCAAATACAAATGTTCAGATAATTAAGGAGTATGTGGGGAAGAGAAAGCCAGCTGACTATCATAAGCAAGAACTACCACTTCTGGCTTAAAATACACTGTAAATAAAAAAATTTGAGGACTAACTACAGTGCTGACAGAATTGTTCTTTTACAAAAAACCTTGGACTTCTAAAGCAGAAATAATGGAGAATTTTCAGCCATGGAGGGACAGGGCAGAAGTAGATGCTGCATTTATTTGCAGTACGCAGAGAGCTGGAGAAGACAGAAAGAGAGCAGGCATGCACAAGATCCTGACAAGTTTGTTGTTTCTAAATAGCAGCAGTTACAGAGAACCCATCACTGGGATGGCTTCCCTTCCCATGAGATGATAAAAGAAGTTCTCAAAGGTTAGGTATCCACAGTCAGAAAGCATTGCACTCATCATGGAACACTATTACTTCCATATGTCCAGAAAAACCATATGGTTTGATTGATCATAACCCCAAAAGATGAAGACAGACCTGACATACACATGATCTTCAACAGGATGCTAAAGAATCAGTTTACCTGAAAATACACTTTACTGTATCATAGATTTTTCTTATTACACAGAATGTTACATCAGAACATAAGATGTGTTCTGACCTAGTGTTGTAAATCCATCCAAGATATGCCAGATGCACAAGATGAGTAACATCCTAAGCTCCTCTGGACAAGAAGCCAGCAAGTTATCTAAATTATGATCATCTCTTCACTACCTATACTTCCACATTGTGGAAGAATATGGAAGGAGCAGTCACTGCTGTTAGAGAAAGCTTTATACCACTGGCTTAACATAAAGGAATGTTCCTGTAATTTCTCTGACATTGCACAAAGTGATTTACCTTGGAATGAGAACAGAACTTGGGACTTCAATATGACAGATCCAAGCTTCATACAGTAAACTTCAAACAGAAGCAGCAAGATGTACCCATTTTTCACCACAAGTCTACTTGCTCTTCCCTCTCCAGGATGATCCGCAACATGATCTCTCCTCTGCTAGGTTAATACTATACTGAAAATGAAACTACTACTCACAAGCACTTGAGTATAGATGTGTTTCAGGCTTCTGTAGCAGTTGATCCATTGAGGAATTTAAAAAGAAATAAAAGATAAACTCCAAAAAGAAAACCTCTTTGAACAGATTTCTGATTTAAAAGCATTTTAACTAATCAGTTACCCCATAGCCAACAAAACAAACTACACATTTCCATAAATTCATCCTAACAAACCGAGCAGCTAATTTAGTATCTGTGGAAACCTATTTATCACCTCTTAACTTCTCTTAAGCTTGTGTTAGATTGCCTGATAGCTTGAATACCCATACTTGTTGCTCTGTTTCTTAAAGCTCATGATGTTAAATCTGTTTGCACCCTCCCCAGAGAAATCATTTGCCTGCAGAAATGAGTAAAACCTACCAAACTGAAAGATCCATAAAATGCACTGTCAGTACAGGTTACTAACTGACAGAAAACGGAATTCACACCACAGTCTTGCTCTGTCCACTTCAACAAGCTCATACAGTTCAAAGCTTACGTGCCACTTCATGCCATTTTAATCTTATTTTCATTTGCATTTCTTTTACAAGGAGAAAAGCTAAGATTTATTTAGCATTTCACTGTTAAAACAGTTTGTGGTTCTCTTTACTTCAATGATTATAAACAGACAACACTGTGAGATTTTAATTGTTTTAAAGTCTTTGGAGCTATTTTCTTTAATGAAGGCTGATAACACACAGATGGAATTTTTCAAGAACATTGTAAATTTTTAGCCCAAAGCAAGTGCTGTGTTAAAGAGTGCTAATCATAACAAATCATAGCACTATTGCTGTTTACAGGGTTTAATACTGTAATTATAAGTCACACTTTATAAACAAACATACTTAGGACAGAACTACCTCAATTTTGTGTCAGGGTGGGCCAAATAGATTCTCACAGAGGCACCCAAACACTGTGTGCTAGGTCTTCCTTTCTCACCTCCTCCACCAGATAACATGATTTGCTTATCAAAAAGTTAGTCACTTCATCATGGACACATGAGTTCACACCATGAAGACGACAAGAGAACAATCAGAAACTGGTGATGAGATGGGTGTGTTCCCAATCACACAGCCGGGCACACACACAACTCCCTCTCCATGACCCAAGGAGAATGCAAGCCCCTGTTCCAAGGCTGGACATGAACCCATCATCATATGACAAGGGTCAGCTGCATGGGGTAACCCGGCAGAGGTACTACCAGTCACACATAAAGGCAATAACAGGTTGGCAGAACAATTCCTCCAGCCACCAGCCTTGTCCCATCTCTCTCTTCCACCTCAAGGACTGAGAGCCAGAAGCCAGCTGCCAGCCAGAGAATGTGGGAAGGCAGGCCAGAGAATTTTGGAAAGTAGCTGCAAGCTAGGCACATTTGTTACACACACACTATCTAAAGGTGACCAACATTAAACAGACTGACATGTATTTTTCAACTTTACATGGGCTGGCATTAGAAAGCAATTAATTAATTTCATTTCAAAGTTTTCACGTGATTCATTAATAGGGAACAGGTCTGAAGACAAACTATCAAGCAATATCTGCCATTGCCTGTTCTCTTGCACAAAGAAATATTTGAGGATTTTGCTTCTGCTCTCCCCCTGCCTTCCCAGCTATACTTAAAAGTCTCTCTCCAGTTTGCTAAATTGCCTTTTAAATATATATACACTTAATCAGAAACAGAACACATGATGTAAAATAATCTTGGACTGGAACTCCAAGATGTCTAAAAATACCACATTTATCCAGCCTAACAAGAGAGT